GCTGTAGTGCTTTTTCACTGCAGAATTGCAGAATGAAGCCAGCAGCTTTGTAGGGTACAGTGATGTGTGTATAAGCCATGAAAAGGGAGCCACTGTGCTACCCTGCTTGGACAGGCTGCTTCAGACCCTTAAGTCTTACTTGTATACAGTTCAGTTTATTTAGGTTAAAGGCCAATGTAAGCTTGAAATCCTGGTTCCATGTCCTAAATCTGTTCTTTGCAAATGAATAGACATAGCAAGACGTGTGGTTTATGCCCTCTTGTTTAAGCACTAAAATAATAACACCTGCCTTTTTTCTCTGACCTCAGAAGAGAAATACATGAAATGGGGGAAAACTTGGGGAAGGCAGTGCATGACTGACTAGGGTATAGACCCATTTCTAGCTCTTCCCTCTCCAATATGTGGACTGGCCTATGGCTTTTTCTCCTCATCTGCGGGGGTTCGAACCAGCAACCCCTGCGCAGTGATGATTGGGGATAAGTAAGCACGCCGTTCGCCAGCCCATGCTGCCCCCAGTACTGGGAACACTCAGGTGCAATGGGGAGCCTAGTCAAGCAGGGACTCATTTATTGCAGGTGTTACAGAGCTTATAAAGGCACCTGGACATCCCCCCCTGCCCCCTGAGGTGCTGGAAGGAGTGTAGAGACTGTGCTGACCTAGACAAACTGCTTTACACACCTTTAGAAAATACTTTGTTTTCAAGATTTTATGTGTACGAATGTTTTGCCGGCATGTATGTAAGTGTATCATGTGTGGGGTGCCTTCATAGGTCAGAACAGGGTGTTAGATCCCCTAGAACTGGAGTTACAGACAGTTCTAAGCTGTTATGTGGGTGCTAGGAACCAAACCTGGGTCCTGTGCAAGAGCAGCAAGTACTCTTAGCAGCCGAGCCATCTCTCCAGCTTTATAACCTTTAAGGAGTGACATATAGAGGGCTGTGGTGATAGCTCAGTCAGTAAAGTGTGTGCCTTGCAAACAATGAAGACCTGAGTTTGATCCTGAAAACCCAAGTTAAAAACAAACAGAAAAGCTGGTGTACTGGTATACATTTTTAATCCCAATGCTAGGGAGGCAGAGACAGGGGGGTTCCTGGGGCTCCCTGACCAGCCAGTATAGCTTAATTGGTATGCTCTAGGCTAATAAGAGACCCTGGCTTAAAAAACAAAGTGGACTGCGTTCCTGAGGAACAGTGTTGAGCTTGTCCTCTGGTCTCCACACTCACACATGTACACGACAGCATGCGTACACACATACAAAAACAAACAAATAAACAGCAGAAAGAGCTGGCAGATAAGTTACAGCAGATGCTCAGTCACCTGCCTTTACCCCTCGGGCCTTCAGTGTTTGGTGTTCCCCACTGCCCAGCTCTGTATCCCTGCCTGAGCTTGCTTTGAAGCCTTTAAAAGGTCACTTGACTAGCAGATGGCTGGAGACTGACAGGAGAAGGTATCAGCACCCCAGCAACCTTGCCTGCTCCCTGCATCCACGCCATTTCCCAGGATTAGGCTTATGTCCCCATCTCAGCTGCTTTCATAAGGCTTGGTTGGTTCTCTCCTCGACGACACATTATTGATTCTTCCCCTCTTGACTCATCCACTAATTCCAAATAAATCATCGCCACTCCAATATTTATCTCAAGATCTGCTTCTGGGGGAATCTAAGCTATGACATAAATTAATCATGTTAATTAATTTTTAGCCTTCCTGGACTGAAAGGTGATTAAATGCATGTTTTCATTCTCTTTACAAAGCAGTGTGTGCTGAGCCATTTCACATTTATTCTTTGCTGGCAAGAAATGACAAGAGATGTCCAGGACAGGCAAATGTCAGCCCCCGGGGGCACAGCCACAACTGACAAAGCTATTTATTGGAGGAATTCTGGCTGTCAGTTCTGATCTCTGTTGACAGTCAGAGGAATTCACTCATTCTGCAAATATTTTCTGAGTCCTGTGTCTCTGCAAGAGGCCCAGGCAGTACTGGCCAAATGAAAACAAATACTGCCTGTCTTCTCTGAGATGTAGCTTTCAGATAACTCTATTAAAAAAACACTAATGAATTTGTTTAGACTGAATGTTTGAGTTACTGTTGGGCTGATGATAATTCTCAAAGGGAAGCGGGATGAATGGCAATGATCGGTTTTGTTTTTTCATTTTCACACTAGGCAGGATTTTATTTCTGATAATCATTATGACTCAGTCCATTCTCAAGGCAACAATCACTCAGTGTGGTGTGCAGCCCACCGCTGCTGGGAAGGAAGCAAGAACACAAATTGTGGGGCCACTGGGATTTAGTTTCTGGGAACAGAGCTAGGAAAGACACAGTCAGTGAGGTGTGGTGCACACCTATAATTCTAGCTCGTGGGAGACTGAAGCGGGAGGAGACCTTATTTCAAACAAATAAAGAAACAAACACCCCAGCAAAAACAAGCAAACAAGCTGGGGGTGGTGGTACATACCTATAATCCTAGCACTTAGGAGAGGAAAGTACAAAGAGCTAGAGTTCAGAGCCATCGATGACTATATAGTGAGTTTGAGGTCGACTTGTGTTACATGAGATTGTCTCAAAAACTTAAAAAACAAAAAAGAAGCTGGGCGTGGTGGCACACACCTTTAATCCCAGCACTTGGGAGGCAGAGGCAGGTGGATCTTGTGAGTTCAAGGCCAGCCTGGTCTACACAGTGAGTTCCAGGTCAGGGGGGCTACAGGGAGACCCCTTCTCAAAAAGACCAAAACAAAAACAATAACAACAAAAACTCCCCCCCAAACCAAAAAAAAAAAAAAAAAAAAAAAAAAAAAACCAAAACCAAAACCAAAAAGAAAAGCAATAAAAGATGCTGATGCTGTAGAAGGAGGTTCCCTGGACCACAGGCCAGGAGAGTTGAGTCTAATGCTACCAAGCGGCTGTGTGATTTTGGGAAGTCAACAGCATTCTCTGGGTCTCAGTTTCCTTAAACACTTTAGTACTTAGGGAATGGTATTGGATGGTCTCCAGAATCATTAATTGAAAACATTCATAAATTTGGCTTCACTTCACCCTCTGATGCTTCATCTCCCAACAGCTAGGGTAGAGGTTGGGGACTTTCTTTTATTGAGTGATGGGGCACTATTTTCTGCAAAAAGTGTTTGTAGTGACCTTGTTCAAGGAATTGATTGTTAGGAGGATGGCGTGGAGGGTGGATAAATAGGATTGGGGTAAAGGATGTTTAATGGGCTAGTGGGCATTTGAAGGATCTGGAATTGGAGAAGATCCTGCTGGGATGGTCCCTGTTGGTCCTTAGGGGGTTGGGAAATGGAGAGGCAGAGAGGTGGTAGAAGGTCCTCTTCCTTTATTTGGTGACTGTTAACAACTGCCATGGCTCTTAAGGCTGGATGCGGTTCAGACAGCTTTTATTAACGAAAAACTACAAAGTCCTTCTATTTCTTCTGATGTCATCACTCTGGAGTAGAGCCTGGGTACTGGCCTCTCTGAAAACTTTCTGTAATAATCCTGCTGTGAGACCAGCACTGAGAACCATCACTCGTGAACCAGAAACAGCCCGTTTGCCTGCCTGGTCTTTCCACTTCCTTTACCTGGCCCTCCCTTGTCTAGTCTTCCCCAAAGTCAGGGGTGGGTGGCAGAAGGACCCTCTGCAGTCTATTTTCTGGTTAATTATTTTATTTATGAGGTTTCATGAAGGTTTTTTAGGAATATAACTTACACTACTTAAGAAATTAACTTGAGAAATACTTAAAACCAAGAAAGAAAAGCATCTTAAAGTATCAAATGAGTCCATCACTCAATGATCACCCACTGCTGGTGCCATTAACATATTAGTCAAATTTTTGTAGCTGCCTAATTTCCTCATGTGAATGCTGGCTTATGCATAGGAGCTGGCAGCCTACAGGTGGAAGTTCAAATCTAGCTCACTTCCTGTTTCTACAAATAAAAGTTTTATTGGCACACAGGAGGGCTCCCCACAACTTATTGTCTCTGACTGCTTTGTGAGTAGCTGCAGTAGAAATTTCCTGGCCTCGGACGGGGTCTCCCTGTAGCCCCAGCTGGTCTGGAACTCTATGAGACCGGGCTGGTCTTGATCTCACAGAGATCCTCCTGCACCTGCCTCCTGAGTGCTGGGATTGAAAACGTGTGTCACCACGCCCAGCATTATTCAGTCTTTTGTTTTAAACCCTCTTGTCAGTCCTTGTTTTATATCATTCTGTAATTGCTTTCCCTGGTTTTATCTTTTAACAAGGGCACTTCCCCTTGTCATTATAATTGCATCATAAACATCATTTCTAATAACCGGTTTCATTATACATAGCCTAGTTGGGTGGTGGTGTAGTCTTTCTTCAATGATTAAGCACTTATATATTTTTCACTTTTACACTGTAAAATGCTTCAGGGAGTATCTTTGTATATAAACTTTGTATTTCTCTCTCTCTCTCTCTCTCTCTCTCGCTCGCTCGCTCCCTCTCTCTTTCTCTGCATTCTACCACTGATCTCCATCCTTACCCCTCATATTGCCAATGCTTTCTTTAGGATACCATCCAGTTTGTTCAGCTGATAGGTAGGGACAAATAAATACTTGATACAGATCATAAAATACCTTATTCAAAGACTGTATACCAGCCTGTGCTCTTTAAGCATACAGTAGAGAATCTTTTACACCTGCTAACCAGGGTTGAACATTGTCATTTTAAACATTTACTGATTTCAGATAGGTAAATAAGTATATTAATTTGCATTTTTTTTTTGGTCTTTTTGAGACAGGGTCTCCCTGTAGCCCCAGCTGTCCTGGAACTCACTATGTAGACCAGGCTGGCCTTGAATTCACAGAGATCTGCCTGTCTCTGCCTCTGGAGTGCTGGGATTAAAGGCGTGCGCCACCACGCCCGGCATTAATTTGCATTTCTTCCGTGTCTAATGAGCTTGTTGCTAAATGTTTGCTTTTCTTCTTCTGCATCTTTGCTTGGCTTCCTCTGTCTAGGACAGAGAGGAAGATGCCAGGCCTTCCTCTTATCTTAGCTTGGAGCAAGGCTCCTGCCTCTGCTTGGTTCTTTTCCATATCTCTCTCCCATTGAATTCTGATAGTCTCAAGGACATCATCCAGACCGGTGCAAGGGGAACATCTGTTTGCTCCAGCTCAGACCCCGCCAGCTGCTTGTACAGAACTTTCACATCCCGCAAATAGCAATGGATACCTTAGATGAGCTCTAGAAGGAAAGAACATTCGTGGAGTTCTAGCCATCTGCAGGCCAGCTCTGTGGGCAGTATTTTGCATTCTCACGCTGCTCATGTATAGAGCTCACAGAGACTGGCAAAGTCCCTATCTTCTTCCTGGCGGAGGTACCATATTCTTTTCCCAAGGATGCATTTCTTGGATTGGTCTCCCCAAGTGCATCCCCAAAGCAAAAAATCAAAATAAATGACAATAAAGTAAAAAATAGGGGCTGGAACTCCAACTCCAGGGTCTCCAACGTCCCTTTCTGGCCTCTGTAGATACCTGTACTCACATGCAAGTATACCCAGACACACATATACATATTAAAAGTAAAAATAAATCTTAAAAAATAAAGACAGCAACAACAGGAAAATGAATTTTGGCATGAAGTCAGGCTGTGCTAAAGGAGATTAAAGATAACTTTGGAGTCTAAAGAGTTCCCGATGGAGCATGGCCTTCAGCAACTGAGCTAGAAACAGGAAGAAATGGATTTACAGTCACTGGTTAGCTAACCCAGAAGGAACTTCCAATGTGAGCACTGGTCAGGGAGGTTTGACTCTCTACTGGAAGCATCCTGGAAAATGACTCAGAGAGTGATGTGTGTGAGGTAGCTTAGTGTCTGTCAGTGCTCCCTGCAGAGAACTGGACTACTCACCTGCCTGAGGTGCCCTCTGGTCCTGCCACTCAAAGGTCTGATATAATTTTATTAACGAGTGTAGGGGTATATCCTTAGAATTACTTTGTTTATCCTATGCAGTGTTGAAAGATATCTGGAATAGAATGTTTTGGGGGAGTGTGCCCTCCAAATGCAAGCAGGTTCTAACATTCGCTATTTAGACTCCCCAACTTATGTACTGGCCTACTCCTTGAGGCCATTTGAATTTGAAACTTTGGGAGGGTCATCTGACCCACAACAAGGACTTGGCATTCTTTTACTTGACATTTCCCTAGCCAAGCAACAAAGAGAAGAGCTCCCAAATGCCTGTGTTAGGAAGTTATAGTCACAGAGGTGAGCGCCTTGCTGTGGGGCCAGACCAGCAACAGGAGCCTCACCTACCTCTTGGTAACTCCTGGACAGAAAGCCAAGTTCTTCTTTCAAACTTTCCATTTGATTCTCCAGATCTGTCTTTGTGAAATTAGCTTCATCAATGACTTTGTACAGAGAGCTAATTTCTTCTTCTGCTGCCTTCCGAAATGCTGCTCGTGCTCATATCTGCGGACAAAGGAACTCAATCAGCATAGCTGGGTTGCCCACAAAGGAGAAAAATCAGGTTATAGATATTACCAAAAGGCCCATTTGTGATAGACAAAGAACGTTGGAAGTCACCGTTCCAGTAGCTTTGTGGACATGGTTAGTGCTGCTTATTAGCATGAAAACATTCACATCCAGCCTCTGATAACATGATTTCGTCGGCGTGTTTGGAGCATGGTGCTGTAGGAGAGGATGCTGCAGGAGTTCAGATCACAGTAAGGTCACACCACATCGTCCTCACCATACTGAGTCATCTTCCTTTTGACCCGCAGATCCTTTAACTACATTACTGCTAAGTACCAGGCCAGGAATCCAGAAAAGGAGAATATGCTGAAATTCTGGATAGTGGCTGCCAACCCAGATGAAGGATGAGCAGGGATCAGGGTCAGGACTGGGCATCAAGGGAGAGGTGGAGATGGAGTGCATCAGAGCACATACTTTACCTCTTCACCCACGTGGGTGGTGGAGATGGAGCACATCAGAACACAAACTTTACCTCCACCTGCGGAGGTACTGCTGCCCAGCTCTTCCCACCACCATGGTGGGGAAGATGCTTGGTGACCCACCCAGGTCAATTCTCTCCAGAAGAAAGGGGAAACTGGATTTCTATGTGAAATATCAGAGATTTTAAAAGGGTAAAGCTTAGTAGTAGAGTACTTGCCTAGTCTGTGAGAGGCCCTGAGTTGGCTCTCCACACCACAACAAAGACAAACAAACAAACAAACAACAAAAAAACCTCAAAACAAAGAATCACAATTTTTATAAAAATGTGTATGTATATAGACACATATACATCTAAAATTGTCCAGTTTGAGGCTGGAGAGATGACTTAGGGGTGAAGAGCACTGACTGCTCTTGCAGAGGACCTGGGTTCGGGTTCCCAGCATCCACATGGTGGCTAATAACCATTCGTAACTTCAGTTTTAGGACATCTGACACCCTCTTCTGACCTCCAAGGGCATCACATGCATGTGTATCACTTACATACATGCAGGCAAAATACTCATAGATTTTAAAAAGTGTTCATTTTGAGTTTCATTCTTAGTTCACAAAATCTCTTGTTTGCAGCAATGTCTTCTTTCTAAACATTCCCCGATATCCTTGCCAGTTTCTCCTGGTGCTTTCTCTGTATTCCACAGCTCTACTGCTCAGCCAAACCTTCTACCTTACCTCCATCCCTCCATAGAAGGGAGACTCTACACTTCTTTTCCAGGAAGCATCTTAGGGTTTTAGAGTTATGAGTATTCATGAAAGTGTGTGTGTGTGTGTGTGTGTGTGTGTGTGTGTGTGTGTGTGTGTGTTTTACTGGGGATTGTACTCAGGGCCTTGTGCCTGCTAAGCAAGCTCTGTCTCCTGAGCTGCCTCCCCAACTCTCGTAAAGAACTTTAGAGTTCAGGGTTTCCAGGGATGGACCCTTTAAGGCATTTATGACAGGTGTTTGTGTCGAGCCTCTCCTTGCATGTTTCCTGTGCTGGAAACATGCTCTCTCAAGGCTACCTCTCAAGGTTACCATCCCACTCTCCCAGTTTTGGAATGCTCTAATCATTGCAAATTTCTTCCTGTAAGAGGTTAAATCTCCATTGCTATAAAGATGTAAGTCTGACCCTGGGAATACCCAGAGTTGCTCTAATCTTTCCTCTGGCAGTCCTACAAAGTTTGTAGATTGCCATCCTCATACCAAGTCTTTTCTTCCTCAGGATAACAATCTTTTCTCCACTACACAGGCAAATTGTGTCTGTATCCCTATCATTCTGTAGAAACTACGCCTTCCATCTTTGTACTTCTTGTACCCAGCTCCACATGTAAAATATGCGTGATGGTTAATATCATCAACTTGACAAGACTAGGAGACCAACGACTTCTGAGCACATCTGTGAGGGAGTTTCTAGGTAGGGTTAGCTGAAGTAGGAGGACCCACTCTAAATATGGGCTGCACCATTCCATGAACTGGGGTCCAGAACTGAATAAAAGGAGAAAGTAAGGTGAACACCAACATTCATCTCTCTCTGCTTTCTGACTGCAGATGCAATATGACCAGCTGTTGCATGCTCCTGCCACCATGCCATCCCTTCCCCGCCATGATGGACTGTATGTAGCCCATGAACTATAAGCTCAAATAAACCCTTCTTTCCTTAAGTTTCTTTGTTAGGTATTTGGTCACGGCAACAGAAAAAATACCTAATATGATATTTTGTGGAGTGGATAGAAATGCTTTCACTGGCCTATCCTACCTACAGTGTGATTCAGAGACCTGACCGCTGCCTGATGGAGCGAGACTGGCTGCTCCTCTGTTTAACCTGAGTCTTTGTGTTATAGACTCTGCAACTTGTTCTGTGTGCTTGGTTTCTTTTCATGTTTGCTCATTTGATTTCCATCAGCTGTGTCTGCAGCTCACCGACCCTGAGCCTCCCGTCATTTAGAAACCTCAGGTATTTTCACAAGAGGTTCAGTAAGCTCAATTTCCCCACCCTCTCTAGGTGTTTGAACCCCAAAGTAAAAGTTCTTTTTTACCTTTTCAATCTCACTGGCTCCACGTTGGGGTCATTTGGAGTCCCGGTTTTGCCAGTCTATTCTTCAGTGCCCCTCTTGGTTTTACTGACTACTGTTTATTTAGCCACACTTCCTTTTATGAGAGGAAGTTAAAAATAGTCACATGAGCTGGGAGTGTCGCTCAGTGGTAGAGCAGGAGGCCCTAGGTTTGATCCCCAGCATAGGGCTCTGTGGTATGCCAACCAGGTACCTCTGTGAGAACTAGACTTGTGCCTTTGAATAAACTCCCAGATGATGCTGTTTAAAGCATTTTCTCTTATCCTTTATGGATCTAGATTTTTTGACTCAAATATTATTTATGAATGATTATATTTTCATTAATATTTTGTCAGTTTTTTGTGTGTGCTGGGTGCTCAAGGCCTTGTGTAAGCTAAGCATTCATGCTACAACTGAGCTAAACCACAACTTCTTTTTTTAAAAAATGCTTTATTATTTTTATTTAGGGAACCAGTTTAGGGAACCACTTTCTTGAGTAGTAATCCCATTACCCTCCCAGTGGAAGTAGATGTAGGAAGATCAGAATTCAAGGTCGGCCTTGACTATATAAATGAATTTGAGGCTATCCTGGGGTACATTAGACCTTGTCTCAAAACAAGGGCCTGGAGAGATGGCTCAGAAGTTAGGAGTACTGGTTGCTCTTTCAGAGGACCTGAGTTTAGTTCCCAGGATCTGCATGGCAGCTAACACTCATGTTTGGGGTATCAAACATCCTCTTCTGGCCTCTACAGCCAGGCACTAGGCATGCACATGGTACACATCCATATATGCAGACAAAGCAACTCATACACATAAAATAAAAATAAATAAAATCTTAAAACAAAACAAAGCAAAAAACTGAAACGAAACAAGGACCTACTTAATTCTAATAGCAGCCAGGTTTGAAACCCATTTCTCTGAAGCATTCTCAGTGCCTGAGGACCTTCAATCACTAGGAACTCTTGGAAATGTATATGTTGGCCCAGCTCTAGACCTATGGAATCAGAAACTCAGAGTGGGGTGCAGCAACCTGCGTTGTCTATACAGTGATCAGGGTAACTTCTGATTCTGATGTACACTAGAGTTTGAGAACCTTACTTCAGGGTCCAGTGAGATGGCTCAGTGAGGAAAAGTACTTAGAATACAAAGAAGTGAACCAACTTTACAAAGTTGTCCTCTGACCTCCACACATGTGCCAGAACACACATAACATATACATACCACACATACTACTACTACTACTAACGATGAATAACAATTTTGAAAAAGAAGCTGTTTTATATGAAGTGACCCTGGGCACAATCTTTGAGCCCTTGGAGCCTGGTTTTTGTGGCCCTCGGTTTTCCCAGAACCTCTGATGGTCTGCACCAGTTTCCCAGAAAAGCGGAGGGGACAATGCTGACTCGGGCAGTATCACCTGCATGGCGGGGAGTCTAGGGTGGGAGTGACTGTCCGGCTTCAGAGTATTACCTCTCTTTAAAGTCATCTGCATCAACCTGGATCGAGTCCATCTGCAACATGAGCTGGGCATTTTCCAAGATGATCTCTCCCACCTGGAACACATCAGAGAGATGAGGTTGCTTAGGACTGTGACCTGAGTGGAACACAGGGCTCTGGAGAACTTGGAGCTTTCCCCAAAGCATGTCTTTCAAGAATGAGTCCCACTTTCTGAAGATGGGGAGGAGGAGGAGATAAGAAGACATACTCTGGGTATCTTTTAAGGCTTTTTAGGGTTAGATTTTAGGGATAAATCACCACCTTCATTTCAAAGGCAGACTTGTTCACAGTCTCTGCCATAGCCTTGAGTTCTTGGCTCATCCAGAAAGAGCCCTGGTTCCTTTAGTGAATTCTCATTGGCTTTGTGTAGTAGCTTGTGTGTGTATATCTGTGTGTGTGTGTGTTCAGAGGATGACCTTGGGTATCACTCTTCAGGAGCTGTCCACTTATTTTTTATTTGAAGATTTCATTCATGAGTGCGCTGTATTTGCATCATCTACACATCCCTCCCCTTTCCAACTCCTCCCAGGTCTTCTCAACCACTCCCTATCCAATTCATGACCCCTTCTTGTATAAATAAATAAATAAATAAATAAATAAATAAATAAATATTAAATATCCCACTGAGTCAAATTGGTGCTGCCCTTATTTGCATGTGTTTAGGGCTGACCACTTTAGATTGGAATCCAGTCCCTGGGAAAAAACCAACTGGTTCTCCCTTCCCTCAGCAGCAATTGACTGCCTGTTGTCCTTTGTTTAGGGGTGGAGCCTTATGAAAATTTTCCTCCATTCATGTTGGCATGTCCACTGGCATCCACTTTTTTTTTGAGACAGAGTCTCTCACTGGCCTAGAGCTTGCCAGGTAGGCTAGGCTGGCTGACTAGTGAGCCCCAGGGATCCACTGCCTCTGTCTCTCCAATGCTGGATTAGAAGCATGTGCTACATACGCAGCTTTTATCATATGGTTCCCCCTCTCCCACCCACATTGTCTCCCTGTAGCTCCACCCGGCCTGGAACTCACTATGTAGACCAGGTTGGCCTTGATCTCACAGAAATCTGCACCCACCCCCTTTTTTTTGAGTGTGTATCTGTGCTGTCCACTGTGGTGGCCACAGGTGGCTACTGAATACTCATGATGTGGTATAGAGGCCTGAGGAACAGAAACCTTGAACTTATTTAATTGTACTTAGCTAGTAGCTCCCATATTGGACAGGGTAGCTCTAAAATTTTATTCGCCTCCAAAGCATTTATGTGAATATCAACATTGTACATATAGCCCAAGGGTTTCAGTGAGCCTTGAAGAGCTATTTTCAAACTTTGCTCTTCCAGCCCCTTAGGATCTTCCACAGGTGGGAACTGGTGGAGGTTCTCTCTTCAACCTGAGAAATAGATTTTTATGCATATACATTAATGCATATATAATACATACGTATATATATATATATGAGTTTAAGTTATTTTTAAGTTTGTTTATTTACTTATTGGGACAGGGTCTCGTTATGTAGCCTTGGCTGGCCTAGAACTCCCTGTGTAGACCAGGCTGGCCTGGAACTCACAGAGATCTGCCTGCCTCTGCCTCTCGAGTGCTGAGATTAAAGGCATGTACCACAAAAATAATTTATTTTATTTTAATTAAAAAAATAAAAAAAACATTTTATGTGTATGAGTGTTTTGCCTGTATATATAATATGTAAGTACATCTGTGTCATGCAATGCCCATGGAGGCATTTAGAAGAGGGTGTCAGATCCTTTGAAACTATAGTTATGAATGGTTGTTAGCCACAATGTGGGTGCTGGGAACTGAATCTGGGTACTCTGCAAGAGTAACCAGTGCTCTTAACTGCTGAGCTATCATCTCTCCAGCCCCTTGTTTTGTTTTTATGAGACAGGGCCTTACTTTGTAGCCCATGCTGGTCTTGAACTCACTGTTTCCACTTCCCAAGTACTGGGATTACGGACATGCCACCACACCTAGCCAGGAATTTATATTTTAAACTGACAATTATATATATATATATATATATATGTACATATATATGTATATATGGAGAAAGATATTATCTGGTATGTTTAATATATGTTTTACATTTTAGAATGATTAAATCAAGCTAATTAGCATGCTCACTATCACTAATCATCAGAAAAATGCAAATTAAAAGCACAACAAGATATCACCTTTCACTAGTTAGTTATCAAAAAGACAAAACAAGTTCTGGCAAGGATGTGGAGCAAAGGGAATCCCACATACTGTTGGTGAGACAGTGAATTCATAACTGCTGTTAAGGAAAGCAATGTGGAGGGTCCTCAAAAGAAAGAAAGAGAATGCTGGGCGTGGTGGTGCATGCCTTTAATCCCAGCACTCAGGAGGCAGAGGCAGGAGGATCTTTGTGAGTTCAAGGCCAGCCTGGTCTACATAGTGAGTTCCAGGACAGCTGGGGCTACAGGGAGCCCCAGCTCCTGTCTCAAAAAGACCAAAGAGAGAGAGAGAGAGAGAGAGAGAGAGAGAGAGAGAGACAGAGACAGAGAGAGAAGAGAGAGAGAGGAAGAAAGAAAGAACCACCATACTATCTAACTATACAATCCTGGGCATATAAACAGAGTTTCAAGTGTCTCCAGGCACCAGAGATGAAAGACAGGAATAAGGTTAGAAGATCAGAAATCCATGAGAAACGAGACACCCTACTTCAGTTATTTGCCAGTGTGCTCGAGGGCAAGGTTCAAATGATATTTGCTAGTCAGAAATTCAACAAAATGAAACTAAATAAGATGACCATACTGGGACAAGAAAGGAGTGTCATCGTTGCTCCCCCCACCTTCTTTTTTTCCAATATTGAGGATTGAACCCAGGGCCTTATGCACGCTAGGCAAGTGCTCTGCCACTGAATTGTATCTCTAGCCCTCTTTGGACTTTTTAGTTTGAGTCACAGTTCTTGAACTCATTCTGTGTAGCCCAGGATGGCCTTGACATTGCAGTTCTTCTGCCTCAGCCTTCTGAGTAGCTGGGATGACAAGTTAATGCCACCAGTCTGTCATTCTATGTATTTATTAGAGACGGGGTCTCACTATGTAGATTTGCCTGAAACTCAATATACAGACCAGGCTTCCTTGAACTTGCTGTAATACTCTTGTACCTCCTGAGTGCTGAGATAACAGGGGTGTTCAACCACACCCAGCCTGGATGAACGAATGCGTGAATAAATGAATGATGTGACCACAAGTGACAGTTCTCAGCCTTTCCCTGGCCTTGGTCTGGAGAAGCCATCAAGAAGGGACTTTCTTTGTATTGAAGTTCAGTGAAGCCAATGATCAGGAGTCACTGAAAGGATGGTTTCTGCTCCCAGTGGCTCCTACAACACACAGGGCCACTCAGGAGGTACCAGGTTGGTGAGGACGCAGGAGGAATGAGGAGAAAGGGTGGACAGAGCCTGACTGTGGTTTCCACAGGCAGGAAGGAATGCAGCAGGTGAACACCTAAACAGACTTGGGATGAGCTGGTTTGAATAATCTCAGCAACCCCCAAGGCACAGGAGGGAGTTTCATTGTTTAGTATCTGGTCTTGGGATGACAAGGGCAGAGGAACTTGAGAACTGGACCCTGGGTAATAGCCGACGGCCAGACTGTGGGCTCAAAAGTCATAGGACAGAGAAAATTGCTTCAGAAGTGCTATAGGCTAGTGACCATGCAAGGGTAGAAGTAGGCAAAGGTGAGCCTTAGCTTACACAATTTAGGAAGACCCACTTTAAGAAAAAAAATGACTAAAACAAAATCAGTGTCTAAGTTTTGGAGAGAGTGTGTGCAGGAGAGGGACCTGGAAGCTTAGAAAGCTTAAGCTCTCTATGGTGGTACAACTCGGTTTTGCTTGCCTATCTATCAATTATCTATCA